GCCTTCGGGCGGGACCGGGGCTCTGGCGGGTGAGGGGAAGGGAAGAAGGCCGGGGCGCGGCGGTGCTGGGGCCCGAGTGGGGCGGGAGCGGAGAGGGGGTCTGTCCGGGGTTGAGGGAATAGTAGGGACCCGGGGCTGAGGGGACAGGAGGGTCCCCGAGCGAAGGGACAGGGTTCCTGCCGGGGGAGGGGGGCAGCGGGTTTAAGGTTCTCCTCTCTCCACAGCTCGAAGCCCAGCTGGGCCGACCAGGTGGAAGAGGAGGGTGGAGAGGACGGTGAGTGTCTCTTGCCGCAGGCCGGTTCCCTCCCCCTTTTTCTCCGGCTGCTCCGCCTGCTGGTAACCGGTGAATTTTTTCTGGAGAAAAAGAGCAGCTGCTGTTCCTAAAACAGCCCAGAGCTGCTCCCGCTCCTTGTTCAGGGCTCAAAACAGGCTCCCGAGCTCTTCTCCGAGGCCAATCTTTGTGAGCAGAGCTGGGCCTGACCTGGGACAAGGAGCAGGACTCCTCTCACTGTCCTTGCTCCACCCCTTTCAGGGTCTGAGGAAGCTCAGGGGCTTGGAGCAGCTGAGATTTCTTAGCTTTTTGGCCTTTTTCTGTGCTGGGGGGAAAAAACAGCGCACCTCCACCCTGTGGGGAGAGGCTGTGCCGGGGTGTGGGGCTCCTGCCCCCTCTGCTGGGCTCGCCCCAAGCAAGGGGGTGACTCTCCCCCTTCTCTTCCCACAGACAAATGCATCACCAGCGAGCTGCTGAAGGACATCCCCCTGCCAGGGGTGCTGGGCGGCAGCCTGAGCGCTGAGGCCGAGCTGCTGAAGGGCGGTGAGAGCTGGGCGAGAGGCCGGGGGGGGCTGTTTTCTTGTCACCTCCCCCACAACGGACACTGTCCCACTGTCCCCCCTCCCCACAGGCCCGCTCCCTTCACCAAAGGAACTTATCAATGGGAACATCAAAACGATCACGGAGTATCGGGAGGAGGAGGATGGGCGCAAGGTGAAGGTGAGTAGCATGTCCCAGGCTGCCATTTTGGCTTCTGTCTGCTGCTGAGCTCCCCTTCTCCCCTCCTAGAGCCCTCGGCTCTGCCCCGGCGCGGGGGCTGATCCGTGCCTGTGTGGTCAGGCAGCCGCACGTCAGCAGGGACATCCCGTTGGAGCCCTGTTTTGACTCTGTGGCTTCAGGCAGTCCCAAACTTAGCACGTGTGGGGCAGAGGCGCCTCTGCTGTCCCTCCTCCTGCATCGATCGGTTCTTTTGCACTTTTACAGATCATCCGCACCTTCCGCATCGAAACCAGGAAGGCCTCCAAGGCGGTGGCCCGTCGGAAGGTGAGCATCTGTGGGAATGGAGAGGGAAGGAGGGAGGGACGGAGGGAAATCTGCGCTCCAGCAGCAATTGCTTCGTTTCCCAGCCCTCCGCTTCTGTCCGTCCTTTCTCAATCTCCCAATGATTCCTCAGCGGGGAGCGTTTCCCTTCCCACTGGCTGCTCCTGCCCTGTGTTCAGTGATTGCTCGGGGACGTGCCGTGCAAGTGGGCCCCCCTTTTCCTCCCTAGAACTGGAAGAAATTCGGCAACTCGGAGTTCGATGCCCCCGGACCGAATGTGGCCACCACCACCGTGAGCGATGACGTCTTCATGACTTTCATCACCAGCAAGGAGGTGGGTCAGGCACAATGGGAGGTTGCAGGCCAGTGGGGAGCTGCCGGTGGGGCCATGTCTGGGTGCATGGTGGGTCCTGTGGGACTCAGGAGTCTCCCTGTCCCCCAGGACCTGAACTGCCAGGAGGAGGAGGATCCCATGAACAAGCTGAAGGGGCAGAAGATCGTCTCGTGCCGTATCTGCAAGGGCGACCACTGGACTACCCGTTGTCCCTACAAGGACACCTTGGGGCCGATGCAGAAGGAGTTGGCCGAGCAGTTGGGGCTGTCCACAGGAGAGAAGGAGAAGCTGCCCGGAGGTACGGCACCCTTTTATCCTGAGAAGGGGGCGGCCGCCGTCTGCCTGCAGCTGCGGGCAGACTCACCTCCTGCCTTTCACCTTTCCTGCCCTCAGAGCCAGAGCCGGTGCAGGCTCAGCAGAGCAAGACGGGCAAGTACGTTCCCCCCAGCCTGAGAGACGGAGCCAGCCGCCGTGGGGAGTCCATGCAGCCCAACCGCAGGGGTAAGTCAAGGCTTGTCGTCGTGGTGGGAGCAATCTCCCTGCATGACACTGGGCCTCTACAGTGCCGTGTACGGCACATGCTGGCTTTGGCCGTGGTACCACCAGCGGCCTTGACCTTCCTTATCCTTCCCCCGCAGCTGATGACAACGCCACCATCCGTGTCACCAACCTGTCCGAGGACACACGTGAGACTGATCTCCAGGAGCTGTTCCGGCCCTTCGGCTCTATCTCTAGGATCTATTTAGCCAAGGACAAGACCACTGGGCAGTCCAAGGTGGGTACGGAGGGATTTCCCCCTTTAGGGGGGGTGAGAAGGAGACCCCCCCTGCTTCATCTCATTGTCTCGCTTTCCTCCCACCCCAGGGTTTCGCCTTCATCAGCTTCCACCGCCGGGAGGACGCAGCCCGAGCTATTGCCGGGGTCTCCGGATTCGGCTACGACCACCTGATCCTCAATGTGGAATGGGCCAAGTAAGTGCTGGGGGGATGGCTCAGATGATTGGGGGGGCGGCGCATGCTAGGTACCGGAGGTCTGTGTGCAGCCACCCCTCACCTTACTGCACTCTTTCTCCTCCGCAGACCCTCCACCAACTGAATCCGGTGCCGCGCCGGCTCCCGGCGAGAGCGATCGGCGCTTCTAAATAAAGATGCACAGTCTGGTATGCACCAAGGTGTTAACCTGAGCTGCAGGGGGGGGTGGTTCACCAGGCAGGGAGCAGCCCCATCCCTGTCCCTACGCTGTCCCTGTCACCCACAGAGGTTGTTCCCGACTCGCTCCTGCCCCAGGCACACAGTGGGGCTGGCAGTACCCTAGCCAGCGACGTGGGGAAGGGGACGGCGCTGCCGTTCCTCATTTTTTAGGCTCATCCCCAGCTTTTCAGCTGAAAAAAGGGGATCTCTGCCAAAGAAAGGTGTGACACGAGGCCGTGCGTGCAGTTTCGGCTTTTAATCCCGCTTCTCCCACATTACTGCCGCCCTTTCCGAGAGGGAAATGCATGCCCAAGGGCCTCGCCGAGCCCTGTACCAGCTGTGCCAGCCTCCTTGGGCCACCCCGGGGGTCTCCTAGGCTGCTGGCCACAGCTCCAAGTGCTCAGCCCGCTCCTTGGCAGCGGTGCCAGTGCCGGTGCTGCAGCTGGCACCGCAGCAGCTCTGCATGCTGTCGGCCAGGGCAGCGTAGAGCAGCGGCTGCAGGCAGATGTTGAGGTTAACAAGGATCTTGCAGACCTGAGCGGTGGCGTGGATGGCTTTGGAGACAGCACAGTCCTCCATGCCTGGTCGCAGCAGGCGACGCCATAGGTTGAGGTTACGGAAAATGTGGTAGGGCAGGTAGGAAAAAGCGTAGAGAGCCACGCCCGCCCCCACCAGCATTCCCACCTTCCTTTTTTCCGGCTGGCTGAGGTGAGGATTACGGAAAACGGTGCGGATAATGGCGGTGTAGCAGGAGGCGGTGAGGAGAAAGGGCAGCCCGCAGCCCAGCCCGGCCAGCAGCAGGCTGTAGGGATAAAACCTCTGCAGCTGCTGCGGGGCTGCGCTCCCCAAACACTCGGTCACACCCTCCGCTTTTTGTAGCTCTGTAAAAAAAAAGGTGGGTGCTGAGAGCACCCCGGCCAGCACCCAAACAACTGCACTCAGCACCTTGGCGTGGCGTGGCTGCAGCCGCCCGTGGACCCATAGGGGGTGAACGATGCCGAGGTAGCGGTTAAGGCTGATGCAGGTGACGAAGAAGATGCCGCCATAGAGGTTGTAGTTGAAAAAGAAACGTTCCAGCTTGCACAGCACCGATCCGTAGCGCCAGTCCTTGGGCGGGTAGTAATACGCCACCAAAAATGGCAGCGAGAGGGAGTAGAGCATCCCGCTGACGGCCAGGTGGAAAGAGTAGATGATGCCGCTGTGCCAGGAGCGCTCGCGGGCGGCGAAACGGTAGACGGCTATGCCGTTACCCACCAACGCCGGCGGGAACTGCACCGCCAGCACTGGCCAGAGCGACTCCTGGAAGCTGCTGAAATTACCACAGTGACTGAGATGGGTGGCCATCTCGGTGTGGGGGGGGGGTTCCTCCTGTCGTCCTCCTCCTTTTTTTGGTGGCTGCAAGCAGGGGTAAAGGTTTAGGTTACGGGCAGCCAAGAGGTATGAGCGTGGCCATGAGGTGTGGCTTCCGGCAAATGGCCGCACAGGGAAGTAGGTGAAGGTTGGTGAGACGTGGCTACCTCATGGCGGGACTCAAGGAAGCCTTGTGGTCCTACACTGGGGACAGAATGTATCCCCCTGCGTCCCCCCCCCCCCCCCCCCTTGTCTGCCTCCCAGGGTGCAGGCAGGAGTTTGTGCGTCTGCTTGCAGCCCCACCACTCGCCCCACTCACCCTCTCCTCCTCGGGGTCCACGCTCGCCTCCCTCCTCTCCTGTCCCTCCCTTCTTGGCAGTGGTCACAGGGACGCCACAGGGTCACGTCCTGCCCCGTTTTGGGGACGGTAGGGGCAAGAGGCTGGCAGCGGAGGGGTTGCAGGCAGGGAAAAATACTTCCTCTTCTGAAGGGCTGTGCCCAGACAGAGCCTGGCAGCTGCTCTTGCCTTGGCCAGAAAGGGGGAAGAAGCTGTGCCTGCGTGCCTCCTCCTTACCAGGGCAGGCAGGGGGGCTTCCTGCTCTGCCTGACCACATCGAGGTGGCACGAAAACGGGCACCTACGGTTGGGGGACACCGTTAACAGCCCAGGAGACCCCACCTTCGCCCCCACCCAAACCTAGCACAGCCACAGGCAGTCATTGCAACCAGTGTATTGCACAGGAGCAAGAATGGGGCTGTGTGTGTGTGTGTGTTTCCTGTTTCCTCTTCTCCCTCAGTTTCGGCGCGTGGCTGGCGGCTGGTGCCTCAGCGCTTCCCCTTCTTGGCACGTCCGGGCCGCCGGAAAATCATCTTCCCCTTTGTCAGCAGATTCCCTCGCCCCTTTGGCCTTGAGGCAGCGCGGCCAGAGCCGGGACCGGCCCCCTCCCGGGCTGGGCGCTCAGTTCTTCGGTGTGGCTTTCGGCTGGCCGCCCCCTGCCTGGCCCTGCTGCGGTGCCGTGAGTCCCTTGGTGCCAGGTTTCCCTGCCGCTGCTTCCCTGGTGCTGTGGGGTGAGCGCTGGGGGTGTCGGGATGCTCCGGCCGGCTGTGCCGTCGTCGTTTCCTTAGCGGGGCAGCACGCGAGGAGCTTCGTTTCCTCTTGGTACGGTCAGGAAATAGATCTTGAGGGGGGGATAAACAAAAAAAAAGGGGGGGGAGGGGGTTAGCGAAAAAGGGGTGACGGGGGCGCAAGCATTGGGGCTGATGGATGTGTCAGTGCGTTTACTTTGAACCGAGATCACGGAGAGCTCAAGGTTTTTGCGTCATCAGCCACTACCAGCAGGAGAGGATGGAGGGGCTCAGTCCCGGCCTCTCCACTCACCTTTGTCCGGCTCCTCGCCCACCTCCTGCCGGTAATACTCGGCATCACTCTCTTCCGACTGCTCGGCCGCATCCTGCTGCTCCGGCGCACCGGGATCCTCGGCGTCGCTGTCGCCATCCTGCTGCCGTTTCCTCCGGATCCCCGCCAGGCTCCTCTGCCTGTGGTGCCAGCATAGTGTCAGCCTCTGTCCGGCTGCTGCCAGACCCCGCCACTGCCACGCTGCCCTCACCTGTGAGCCTCACGCTGCTGCCGCTTGCGCTCCACATTCGCCTCCTGCTTCTGCTGCCGCTCCGCCTTCAGCTGCAGCTTCGCCTCCTTCCGCGCCAGGATTTCCTTCACCTCTGCCTCCATCTTGTGGACTTAAACACACGGCAAGAGGGCAGTGAGATGTCCCAGCCCCCGTGCCGGTGGCTTACCGAGTATGGCCGGCATGGCGTTTTGCAGCACTTACTGAAGCTGTGGTAGAGCACGTTACCCTGCGCCAGGCCCTCCTCCACCTTGATGAGCTGCAGAGTCATGCGGGGTCCGATCTACGGGAATTGGGGGATGCGGAGAGCCCCGGTCAGGCTCGATCGCATCCCTGGGGCAATGGTAACCGCGACATCACTGCCAACACGGACCTCAGTGAGGCGCACGGCGCTCTGCTGCGCTTTCATGTTGCCTCGGCCAGCGTATGCCTGTGGCAGCTCCAAGACGTTGTGGGTCCCATCCTGCTCGGCCTCGCTCTCCGACAGGTTTATGTCCCTGCCAAGGGACAGGAATGCATTTGGGGATGGGATGGAAAGCACCTCTGGGAGCCTTGTCCCCCTCGTTCGCCCCCTCCACGCACTTCACCAGCAGCTCGCTGATGTCTTCCAGGCGGCTCATGTTGGGGAACTTCTCCTGCAGCAGCTTCTTCAGGCTTTTGCTCACGCCCACAGGCACGACCTTCACGCTACTGCGAGGACGAGGAGGAAGAGGTCAGCGCTGGGACATGGGGCGCAGGGACCCCCCCCCCAAAATCAGGGGCGTGATACTCACTAATGCCTGAAATCAAGGAGCTGCGTCTCTGTGTTGTAGCTGATGAGTAAACACCTCTTGATGCTGTTGAGGTTGACCTGTGGAAGGAGGAGAGAAGAAGAGAAAAGGAGAGAAGAAGAGAAAAGGAGAGAAGAAGAGGAGGAGATTTCAGTTGGAAGGGACCTACACTGACCATCTAGTCCAACTGCCTGACCAAAAGTTAAAGCATGGTATTAAGGGCATTGTCCAAATGCCTCTCAAACACTGCCAGGCTTGGGGCATCGCCCACCTCTCCAGTAAGCCTGTTCCAGGGTGTGACCGCCCTCTCGGTAAAGTAACGCTTCCTTATGTCCAGTCTGAACTTCCCCGGGCACAGCTTTGAGCCATTCCCAGGTGTCCTCTCCCTGGATCCCCGGGGGGGAGCTCAGCACCTCCCTCTCCCCGTCCCCTCCTCAGAAAGCTGCAGAGAGCCACGAGGTTGCCCCTCAGCTGCCTTTTCTCCAAACTAGACAAGCCCAAAGTCCTCAGCTGCTCCTCACAGGACATGCCTTCCAGCCCTGTCACCAGCTTTGTTCTCCTCCTCTGGATACATTCACATCCTTCTGAAATGGTGGGGCCCACCGTACTCGAGGTGTGACCGCACCAACGCTGAACACAGCGGGACGATCCCCTCTCTCGATGGGCTGATCATGCTGGGTTTGATGCCCCCCAGGATGCGGTTTGTCCTCACCACTGGCTCCTGTGGAGCCTGCTGCCGACCAGCACCCCCAGATCCCTTTCTCCAGCAACTCCTCTCCCAATTTAGACTCGTGCCTGGCGTTACTCCATCCCAGGTGCAGAATCTGGCCTTTGGACTTGTTAAATTTCATCCCATTAGTCCTTGCCTGATGCTCCAATCTATCTAGATCCCCCCGCAAGGCCTCCTGGCCCTCAAGAGAGTCAACAGCACCTCCCTGTTTGGTATTCAACACCGACATCCAGATCGTTGATAAAAATATTGAAGAGAACTGGTCCTAGAATTGAACCTTGAGGAGGTGGGATGGGTCTCGAGCCCCCACCCCTACCCCAGCCATGTGGGGACACCCCCCCACCTCGCTTACCCTGTGGACGTTGATGGAGGGAAACATGTTCTGGAACATGCTGGCCATCAACTTGACCTGGATCTGCTGAAGACCAAAATTGCTGAGGACCAGCAGCGGGTGATGGGTGAACTGCTGCTCGTGCATGCGGTGCCGCTTGAGGGACGAGACCACGTCCTTGATCAGTGAGTACTGGAGAGCAGGGGGGGAGACAGATATGAGGATGAGGAGGGGGCGAGATGCTGTCCTTCATGCTGGCGAGGAAGGGGAGGGCTCCCGCCAGCACCCACCTGCATCACCTTGAATGTCAGTGTTGGGCCACCAGGCAGCCGGAAAAGTTTCTGTGTGGGGGGAGAGAAACGGTGCTCAGCACCGGGGGAAGCTGCCGGTGCAACCGACCGCCCCCCCCTGCCCCTCGGTGCAGATGCATCAGTGCGTTTACTTTGGATAGAATCACAGCATGAGCTCAACAGCATTTTATCATCATCTGCATCTGCGAGGGGGGTGAAACCCCCCTAAAAGGCGCCGGCAACCGGCTTGAGGAGGCGAGGGGGAGCACAGCCGCTACGGAGGGGCCCCCCTGGAGCCTGGAAGGGGGGGGGGGGGGATCATGCTACTCACAAAATTGATGCTGGAGGACGATTTACTGAAGACCAAGAAGTGTGTCACCCCCAGGGGCCCGGCCACGGCCACAAAATCCTTCAGGGAGTTGTTCTTCCGCACCTGTGGCACGGAACGGCCGAAACCTTCAGATCCCTCTGTGCCAAATCACCTCCTGGCTGCGAGGGCTCCGCTTTAACCTGGGGACGGGCAGGATCCTTCCCCCCCCTCCCAGCTCACCTTGAGGGCTCTGGCAGTGTAGGGCTCCATCACCTTCCGCATGTCGGTGATGAGCTGCCGCACGTTCTTGCCGACGCGGCCGCGGTGGAAGACGAAGGAGTGGGGGACGGTGCCGAATTCCTGCTGGGCGTGTTGCGCGGCTGCCGCCCGCTCCTTCTTCTGGTTCTTGCTCTGGCGGTGGGGGAAGCAGTCAGGGCTGGGGGCTGCGG